TTGAAAAATATTCATCATCGAGATCATTCGTTGTAATTTATAAGAAAAAAGTTAATGACGGAGGATATGAAAATGCTAATTATTCTAGAGGAGATTGAAAGTAATAGTAATAATGAGTAGATTTCGGATTTTATGTACTTATTAAAAAATGGTTAAAAAACTGTTCATCATCGAGATGATTCGTCGTAATTGATAAGGAAAAGATTAATAATGGAGAATATAAAAATGCTAAGTATTCTAGAGGAGATTGGAAGTAATAGTAATAATGAGTAGACTCCAGATTTTATGTACTTATTAAAAAATGGTTAGAAAAATGTTCATAATCAAGATTGGAAGTTGTAACACGTTATCAGTTTGGCGATGATTTCTGCAATGGCTCGTCGTCCCTTTTGTATCATCTTATCATATAAAAACAAAAATAGAAGATAAACAACGAATTTCATATATTAAAAAAGGTTGAAGGCTAAATGTTCGTTGATCCAGTCTAAAAAATTTATTTTTTTACTTTGTCATATTTATGATAAGAGTTGAAGAGTAGTAATAAAATGACTGAGCAATAAATTGGTATTATTGTTATTCCTATCGGTTAGATAATAGAAAGTTAGATAATTTATAGTTCGAAGAAATATTACTACGTTTTAGAATCGTTTTGAACTATGCTCTAGCTGTTAGTGAACAATTATAAGGAGCAGAAATATCATCAATGTCCCTAAAGGTTAAGTTATACAAAAGCAATTCCAGGGTAACCTTGAGGAACATTAGCTGCATCTATGCATGCATGCATGCATGCACTCATCGTCGATGCCACGATACCATGAGCGAGCATATTTTAGGAGACAGTCACTGCCGAGTACAAAGTATTTTCCACGATAATTTCAACATCCCATAACGGACAGTCAAATGGACTTTGAACAAATCCATTTACGAACTAATTGTCCATTATTATTCTCTTCTCCTGTCTAATAAGAAATTCATAGGCAACTATGCGAGTAATCTGCAGTTCTGTGAATCACACGAATAAACGTGTCCTATCCGTGGCGCTAACGAATTATGTAAAAGGGTAAGAAACGGATTTCTGTCGAAACGAGTTATCTCTGTTATCAAATAGACGCTGGAAGCGTCGCGCTTATCGTCGTTCCTTCTGATCATCGATGTCTCCAATGAAAATTTTTTTTAATCGTCGTAGCTTCCGATAACGTTACCGATAACGAGTTGGACGTTGAACTCTTGATCAACCCTAGCACTTCCGTAGAGGGGAGCTTGTAAAGTCACGTAGTGCAACTACTGAAAACTATTCGATTGTGATATTCATCTTCTGACCTGATGTAACGAGTGAGAGTTGCACTGAGAAATTCGAGTCAAAGATAATAATGACGAGACAGGCTGATGACATTCATTGTCAGGTCGGATCGGGTGTAAACGTCACGAGCCAGAGTCTGCACCCTGGGAGCTTGTAGTAAATAGGAC